AACACAGGGACTTTTGTGTAAAATATGAAAAAAAAACGATTCGTTTTAACTTAAAATAGGACTGCGGGTTGAATTCTCTGAAATAGAGGGACTTTTCTGAAAAATGCCACGACGGACGAAAGAAACCCAATTTGCTTATTATTAGGTAAAGATTGGATGCGAAGCACTGTCACAGCATATGCATATTAAAAGTGGTTCAATGGTTGGACTTGTTGGAAGTCAATAACTTTGTTGACATCCCTTCTGAATCAAGTTAGTTCTATTGTTAAGGGTGAATTGATGAACTAAGGTTGCAGTGCTGTACATACTATTACCTATTGTGAACTCTGTCCTTTCTTTGCTGTTAGAGTTATTTTTTGCATTCCTTAATTATTAATTATTTGTGTCTCAACAGTCAATTCCACACAGTTGGCGTCTGTTGGTAGCTCATCAAGCACTGGAAAAAAGAAACAACCGGTAATCTCTGACAATAATGTGCCTATCGAGAGGACACCTCAATTGATTGCTGATCATTTTCAGCTAAAGGAGGACCAGGGTAGTATTAGGGCTAGCAGTTCTGCTCAGAATAAGGGTTCCATGGAGACACTTTCTTCTGACATAAGCCAGCTAAGTATCGAAAGGAATAATGTCAATGTTGCACAGCCTTTACCTGAAGAGTATAAGCCTGAGGGGTGGATGCTAGCTGATCAGGAGTCCGGGGTGCTGAGCCAACTAAACCTTGCAATAGTATGTCACTACTCATCTTTTGCTGTGACTTTTAAATATGGAACCTACTCTTTTTACATTTCCTCTTCTAAAAGAGATTTTGCTTTGTCTAAGATGTACTTGTCTCTAAACAATTTCGATAGGTGGGTCATGTTGATTCTGGCAAGTCAACACTCTCTGGGAGATTGCTACACCTATTAGGGAAGATATCGAAAAGAGATATGCACAAAAATGAGAAGGAGGCTAAGGAAAAAGTAAGTTGCTACTGCCTTTGTGTCAGTCCCCCAATTCATTTTGGCGCACAAATCTGACTGTTTGTGTGCTGCCATTTGTTTATCCAGGGAAAGGGGTCATTTGCTTATGCATGGGCCATGGATGAGAGTACTGAAGAAAGAGCAAGAGGTGTCACAATGACAGTGGCTGTCGCCTATTTGGAGACCAAGAAATACCGTGTAGTTCTGCTTGACTCTCCTGGCCACAAAGATTTCGTGCCAAATTTGATATCTGGTGCAACACAGGCTGATGCAGCTATTCTTGTGGTTGATGCATCAACTGGTTCTTTTGAATCTGGTATGGATGGGGAAGGAGGGAAAAGTGTTGGGCAGACAAAGGAGCATGCTCAGCTTATTAGAAGCTTTGGTGTTGAGCAACTTATTGTTGCAGTCAACAAGATGGATGCTATTGGGTACTCAAAAGATAGGTTGGAGTTCATCAAGGTACGACTTGGTAGTTTTCTGCGGTCATGCAACTTCCGGGATTCAGCTGTTACCTGGATTCCTCTTAGTGCTGTAGAGAACCAGAATTTGATTAAATCTCCTTCAGATGCTCGTTTTACCTCCTGGTAAGCTCTGTTTCATGTGAACTTTGTTTCTTTTTGATTTACCACTTTAGGGTGAATTTCTCCAGTGCAGCGGATGTTGTAGCCTCTCTCTAGTTAAATGTTTGGTTTTATGTGCCAACTTTGAGAGTGTTGATCTGTGGACATATCTAATCTGGCAAACTTTTGCTGTTTTTCTCACAATTTGAATCTTGAATGGATATATCCTTTCAGGTATCAAGGGTCGTGTCTCTTGGATGCTATAGATTCCTTGCAGCTTCCTTCTCGGGATGTTTCAAAGCCCCTCATTCTTCCTATATGTGATGTTATCAAATCTCAGTCGACAGGACAACTGGCAGCTTTTGGAAAATTAGAAACTGGTGCTATTCGAAATGGTTCAAAGGTAGATTCCTCACAAACTTCTCTCTTCAGAAGCTACCATTATTCCTGTATTGCATTGAGACCGGTTGCTATAATGAGAGTAGATTAATTCAATTCTATTTAGAGCATGATCTTGCTAGTGACATGCCAATCTTTCAGCAATAGCATGATGTGAGAATTTGTCATGGCAAAATTATGTTCCATTCTTCTTTGCTTGATAACTTAGTTGAATGATTTAGTGCTACAATGATCTTGACAATATTTCCCAGGCAATAGGTTTATGACTGAACTGAAACTAGAGCAGGATGCCTATGTTTCCAATACAGAAATCCTTACCAGAACAGAGCAATAGGGCCAACTATTGATCTTACTTTCCCTTGATAGATAGTTTGGATTGGATAAACAATTCTTTTTGGAGACATGCATGTGCAATTATATTTCTCCTTATTGCTTGGATCTTTTCCTTGTGCAGGTCTTGGTTTTACCTTGTGAGGAAGTGGCGACAGTGAAAACCATTGAACGAGACTCTAGTTCATGCAGCATAGCGAGAGCTGGTGACAATGTAGCAGTTATTTTACAGGGAATTGATGGTAGTCGAATAATACCTGGCGGGGTTCTTTGTCACCCTGGTTTCCCGGTGCCTGTAGCCAACTACTTGGAGCTTAAGATTCGAGTGTTGGACATCACCATCCCAATTCTCATTGGTTATCAGGTAAAGACAAGTCATATAACCAAAGCCATGTTTAGCTTCTCCAGTGTAATCATATCAATTTTGTTGACCTAGGTGGAGTTTCACATACATCATGTGAAGGAAGCTGCAAGAGTAACGAAAATCGTGGCGTTGCTTGACAAGACAGGCAAGCCAAGTAAAACAGCACCGCGGTTTCTTAAATCAAAGCAGAATGCTGTTGTGCAGGTACTCGACGAGTACTAGTCCTTGTGAACAGCTAGCTTTTGTGAAGTTATATACCTTGTGAATGTTGTGAAAACTGTTTGCATTCTTGTAACATTGTTGCCTTTTGTCAGGTTACGCTAGATCAAGCGGTCTGTGTCGAGGAATTCTCGAAATGCCGAGCTCTTGGAAGGGCATTCTTAAGGTCGTCTGGGAGCACGATCGCTGTCGGTATAGTGACTAAGATAATGAGGCAGGATCAGCACTAGAAGACCCCTGTCGTCCAAAACCTGGACCGAGTTGCTGCATTTTGCAAGATCAGTACCTAGCAATTGACTCGCTAGTCGCTACCAATTGGTACTGTAATACCGGCGCTGGCAAGTTTTGTTCTCTGTTTGCTTGTCGCCATTGCTGTTGTGCATTAGTGATGAGTTATGCCTTGTAAAAATGTTCACATCTGTGAATGACTTGTATACCTTGAATGCTGAGGCCTCCTTTGGTTCATAGGATAGGAATAATATAGGAATAGGAAAATCATAGGAAGTGAGATGACATGCATCTCAAATCCTATAAAGAAAGAGATGTCATTTGATGTATAGGATAGGATTTTTTCCATTGAGTCTAGGCTAATGTTTTTTTCCCTTTAAAATGTGAAGGATTAATTCCTATCCTACGTAGGAATAGGAATCCATTCCTATAAACCAAAGGGCTTCAAAGGAATTTTTTCTACGAAATTCCTATCCTTTGCAATTCCTACAATATTCCTATGAACCAAAGGAGGCCTGAGTTAGTTTTAATTAAGCTGGGGAATGCGTAACTTTTTTTTTTGGGCAGAAATTAGCCTGTTACATTTCTGAATGGGTGATGTGGCAATTAACCTGTGCTGTTAGAAGAAAGGGTGAATCAGTCATATATATGCCCTCGTTCACCTCTCTGGCAAAGTCCTACCTAAATTTCACAAACCTCCACACGTACCCTCGTTCACCTTTAGCTAATTTTTCACAAACCTCTAAGCTAAAATCAAACTTTCATCTTTGCCAGCGCGGGCTTATTCAACCAACATGGACCCGGAGTCCAGAGATTGAGATTTGTCGAGGGAGCTCGGTGGCGTCTAGGCAGGGGAGGTAGTATGCTCCAGCCAACTCCGGGAAATCGCTCCAGAGAGGTGATCGGGGGGCGATCTTCTGCCTTCTCTCGGCGCCATGGGTCCTTGTCCTCTCCGTGTATCGCTCTAGCAGGCGGGGACCCCGACAGTTTCTTTTCAGTAGGAAGATAGGATAGGCAAAAAAAAATAAAAATGGTCAGAGAGGTGCTACATCAATGGTGAAGACGGCCGCGTCGGAATAATCTACTTCTGCTCTTCTTTCATCTCGATGGAGTTCTAATGGGTGGCACCGAGGAGCAGGTGGCTTGGTTTTCTTGCTCGTCTCCAGATCTGGTGAGATTTGTGTCTGATGGTCGACGCACGACACTCTCCCGGGTGGCATTGGCGTCGACTGTTGCGGTTGTGTTTGGTGTCTTGTATTAGGGTGCGTGGATGGCGGCAAACAACGACGTTCCTCTTCTTCGACCACGTTGGATGAAGTTGACGGTGCTAAGATCTAGCGGACATGAGGAAGAACCCTGGCCGACGTGCCAAAAAGCCTCGGTTTTGCCGCTTGCAGCGATTCGGTTCATCGGCCCGAAAAGCATCCTTATATGCGAAGGTGTTCCTCTAGATATGGGTATGATGGCAAATCCCCTCTTTTTCAGTGTTGCCTCTGTGACTGTTGAAGATGATGGCGGACAATCTTTCAGCGTGGCTCAAGATTCTGCCAGAGTGAAATTCTAGTATACTTCTTGTGCGGTCTTTGATGCAATATTGCAAGATATATATCTATGTCTCTTATAGTGACATTGTGTGTACTCTTTATAACCCGGTTTTCTAATGAAATATATGTGGTATGCATGCAAAGTTGCAAACACAGTTTCTATGGAATGGACGTGGAAAAGTACACTTCTATATATGCTGTTGTATGATCACAAATCGTTAGTTTTGTCGGAACAAATAGCCAAGAAACCCCCAATTACAAAATAAATAAAAAAGAATATGAAGAGCTTGAGAGCGAGAGAGGAAGGAAAGAAAAGAAGACTTCTCCGACGAGCTTTGTCACGAACACATAACGTGGCAGCGTAAGCCAATGGCGGCCCGTGTTGCATCCGCTCTCACGACCCGATCTTATCGAGGCTGTCGGCGACGGTCTTCATCTTGGGCCGGAGCTCCGGGTCGGCCTCGGTGCACGCCAGCGCGACGTGGAACGCGGCGACGATCTCCTTCTTGGGCAGCGTCGGCGCCTCCCGCAGCAGCGCCGGGTCCACCATCTCCGCCACCGGCCGCGCGTCCTCGAACCCGCGCCGCACCCACCGCACCACCTCCGGCACCGCCTCGTGCTCCGCGCTCCCGGACCGGTCCGTCGTCGTCGTGGACTGTCCCGAGAAGGACGCGGACGTCGACGGCGACGCGTGGTCCGCCGGGCCCCGCCCCGTCAGCAGCTCCAGCAGGATCACCCCGAAGGAGAACACGTCCCACTTCTGCGCCGGCCGCGCCCCCGGCGCGCGCGCCTCGGGCGCCCGGTAGCCGCTCGCGTGCGCCGGCGCCGGCGGCTTCGTGTAGGGGATGGCGCCGCCGAGGAGGCTGCCGCCGGAGGACGGCAGCGCGCCGTCGGGGCCGCAGCCGGCGATGGCGAGCAGGCGGACGAGGCCGAAGTCGGCGACGCGGGGGGTGAAGTCGGCGTCCAGGAGGATGTTGGACGGCTTGACCTCGGCGTGGACGAACCGCCGGGTGCTGCTGCACTCGTGGAGGTACGCCAGGCCGCGCGCCGCGCCCTTGGCGATCTTCAGCCGCGCCGACCACGACAGCACAGGTTCACCGCTGCGACCTGCACCGTCGACGCGGTAATTAAAAGTTAGCATGCATGTGTATATTGGTAACCAGAATTGATGGCATTGATTCTGAGTAAGAAACAAAAATGCTACAGACAGAATTAATGGCCATTTAATTAGGAGAGTGGCGTGTCCACATCACCAGAGCAAGTACAAAACTATGCCTTTACCAGTTTCACCGGGCAGGCGGTGCAAGGTGGGCGAGGCACGACGGCTGCGATACGAGCGCAATGCCGTGGTCAGCAATGAATGTCGCAGCGGCTTCCGCAACCACCGTGACCCCGCCGCCGCCGGTCTGGCCGGTCTCGGAGGCCATGCGTACAAGGTCACCGTCCGCTACTTAGTGTTGTTTAAGTTAGTTTGGTTTAGGTTAATTTTGAGTAATATATATCAAACTAGTTAAATTTCATCAAATTTGCATGTACTATGTCAAACTAGTCCAAATTTTAAGTTTGAACTATTTGAATTAAGATAATTTTTTCCGGAACTATAGCCTTAGAGGGTCGGTTGTCCACGCAGAAACACCGTACATTTCGGACGACACGTCTGCAGACAGTTGAGGGCGTCCGTCTGTGGTTGGCCCCTGAGATGCTGGTGCTTCCCACGGGCAGGAGCAGCCATGGCACTGTCCACGGACACTGCATATGAGGGACTTGTGCAGTGAGCATTAATTGCCCACGTTGTGCCTGATTTGTCATTCACTTGACAATGGTACTAATTGTTGCTGCCTGCCTTCACATGGCCTCTCACAACACACAAACCAACCGTTGCTGCCTGCACGCACCACTTATTATGGCGTCCTCACAAAGTTGTCAAGCTTTTGTCCTATCAAGGCACGAAAGCCACATAGAAAGGCAGCATCAACAGCAGCCTCAGCAGTCAGCACTACACTCATCATCGATCACCCGGTAATCAAAAGCGCTCGTTGATCATGCTCATGCATGCGCGTCGCCGAGGAAGGCGTGCCTCCGCGGTCTCAATTATCACCTCTGCTTTTGGCTCGAGTGTCGCGTGGAAAACTTTCCGGGGTTAGATTAGCCCCAGAAGATCATTCTGTTAGGCCGTGACAGTGACAAAGGTTCCAGGCCTAAAAAGGTCTCCTTTTGCCCTTCCAGCAGGAATCAGGATGCTGTAAAGGCATTCTTTTGCTCTTTCCCTCTTTGGTTTGTCAGTATTGTGCAAGTGCACGTATGGGGGATACCTTAAAGTATGGAAGTATGACTTGATCCTGTGAGGTATTGGACTGTAAAGTGTGCTGTACACCATAAACAACACGTAGTTTTTGGCGCAGTATATTCAGTCAGTGGCCGGCCCCAGCTCATGGCGCGACCCTTAGCTCTTAAGCTACGCTAGCAATTCCCTCAGTTTTCAAGCAGAAAGCAACAGCTCGCTGCTGTCATTGGCCCTGTTTGGATACCCTAACACAGTTAGAGTTATTTTCTAACCCACTCTAACCCAAGTAAGCACCTCTTCACCGGAATAGTTGGGTTAGATGGAACTAACCCACTCTAACCCTTCATGTTTAGATACTTTTAGGTTATTTGAGCCCCCAACTAACTCTAACCCCATTATCCAAACAGGGCCATTGGAGAGCATGAGGCAGAAATGTTTTTTTTTTGCATGTCACTGGAACCATCCATCCATCCGGTCGACAGCGGATGCCCGGCATGGATGGCAGAGTGTGGTCCATCTCCGTCCGGGGGGACAGGTCGGTGCGGTGTTTGGAAGCTTTCGCTCTCGCCGCTTGTCTTGCAGTGGATCGAATCGCCTGACCGGTCCGTCGTCCGTTAGGAAACTGTTGATGGGCTGATGCCTCGGTCGCACGGCAGGCAGGTGGTTCGTTTGCCACCGAGAGCCGATCCCGGCCGGGGATTTTTTACCAACCATGCGTACACTTGTTTCTATCCTATATATGTTGGTCTAGTCAAGTTTTGAGACATTTGATCAAAATCCAACCGGTTATAGTTTGACTTTAGTGGCGTTCCTGTTATTTTTTGACTTTGGAAAAGAGTGGGAAAACACGTGTGAATTATGTGTAATACTAACTCTTGTAAAGAAATATAAGAGCATTTGGACCACTAAAGTAGTGATCTGAACGCTCTTATATTTTTGTACGGAGCGAGTAACATATTAAGTGCTTGTTTGATTCTGTCTAACATGGCGGTAGAGTGGGTCTTTTTTTCCCGAGGATAGGCCACAAAGCTTCAAACACCGTCCTAAAGAAGAAATCGAGCTCGCACGCCAATGTTAATTGGTCTAACAAGACGTCAGACCAGACCAGGGGCTATAACCCTCAAATAAAACCAACACCTTCAAGAAGGTGACTACATGGGGATTTTGACACTGTCGCGTTGTCACCCCGGAGCTATGTCCGCCACCATAATCGCCATCCATCTCTATATCGCAATGCTCACATAGAATTAGGCAGGCCAAAGGAGAAATCACGAGAAGGGAAGACACCACCGCGTTGCTTCCGACCATTGCCGCACCTCCTTCTCGCCGATGGTTGCGTTTGTGCCACTAAGATGCAATGCTCAATCCGGCCCATGACAGAGCCAAAGTTGGCTTTGGCAGGGCTTGTCCGCAACAATGGGGGAGAGGAGCATGAGGCCTTGCACAACCTCACCACGAGACCGATCCGATGTCCGGTGCACCGGACCGGACCCGCATGATTCGACATGAATCGCCGCCGCGAGCTGCACCAACCCACGCCTGCCCCCTCCTCATCGATCGACACACCGGGGTATGTCGGATCCGCATGTCCCAGCCACCACGCCATGCGAGCGCCACTGCCGACGTCAGAGTTCCCCTAGAGACGTCCGAGAGGGGCCACACGCCGAGGTGCGACGCGATTACGCTTGATCCATGCTCCGGCCACACGCCAAATCCATGCCCGAGGTGCTAGTGGACCATGTGCAAACATCGATTCGACCTTCCACGCGTAGACATCGTTAGCTGCATGCGAAGGAAAATGCCCTGCCGCAGCTGCTGCCGCACGAGCTTTGCCCGGCGACGATGAGTAGGGAGGCGGAAGAGGAGGGTAAGGAGTGGCGGATGGGTGGGTAGGAGACGTCGAAATTTATGATGTGTCATGGATTAAATAAGGAGGAACCATACCCTAACTGTATGTTTTTTGTTTGGCAAAAGTTATGACCCTTCCCGTGCACTGAAATTCTTGCCACATGTCATCATTGGTTGTATTATTAGTGATATATAAAAGATCTTATATTTTTACAGAGGGAATATACCACATTTCAAAGCTGTTGTCGTGCATTTAATACGTACTCAAGCAACATAAAAATAAAAGGAGTACTTTAACACACACTCTATTAAGATGATTTACTATTCTACCCGAGTTTGGCTTCAAGTTATACTACCAGGAGCAGTAAAAAGTCTCGTTCAAAGCGAAAGAGCAGTAAGCGAGTTGACCGGTGTTTGTTAGAAAAAAAGAGTTGACCGGTGTTACTTTTACTTACCACGCAGCGCGGTGGCGAGGTTGCCGTTACCGACGAAGTCGGTGACGACGAGCTTCTCGTCCGGTGACCAGTAGTAAGCGCGCAGCCGCACCACGTTGGGGTGCCGCACCCGCCCCATCGCCCGCGCCTCCGCCCTGAACTCCTTGCACCTCTCGGCGCCACCACCGCCGCCGCCCAGCCGCCGAACGGCCACCGGCGTCGAGCCATTGCCCACCACCACCTTGTACACGATCCCCTTCCCTCCCTTCCCCAGCACATACGCAGATGACCGGAGCAGCTCGTCCAGCTCCATCCGGAATCCCCGGTCGATCGCTACAAGCTCCCCGTCGGCGCCGCTGCACTTGCCGTCTCCTCCTTCCTCGTCGTCCGACGAGCCATCCGAGCCGTCCGCCCAGCCTCTGCCGCGGCGGCCCCAAATGCAGCCGCACAGCCCCTTGTTCCGATCATCATCGTCGTCGTCTTCAGCGATTGCACGCCCACGGCCGCCGCGGCCTTCCCTCCGGTCCTTGACTTTCCAGTATATGTACACCAAGATGATGCCGACGAGGGCGACACCGGCGGCGTCGGCGACGGAGATGAGCGCTATCAGGCTTGATTTAATTGGCTGATGCTGGCTGTCGTTAGAGGCGGAGGCTGTTGATGAACTGGTGTTCTGTGGCGGCGGAGATTGCGTCGGCGGTGGGACGGCTCGGCAGGCAACTTGGAGCGGGAAGCCGCAGAGAGCGGGGTTGTTGAGGAACGCGGTGGGGCCCTGGCTGGCGAGGGAGCCCGTCTGCGGGATGGCGCCGGAGAGGTTGTTGAAGCGGAGGTCGAGGGTGACGGTCGCCGGGAGGCGGCCGAGCTCCGGCGGCACGATGCCGGAGAACTGGTTGTGCGAGAGGTTGAGCGTGCCGGAGAGCTTGGGGAGCTGGCCGAGGTCCGGCGGGATGGAGCCGTTGAAAGCATTGGAGGAGAGGTCGAGCTGCTGCAGGCTGGACAACTCCGGCCAAACACCGGTGGGCACCTCCCCAGAGAAGGTGTTTCTGGAGACGATAAGACGCTGCAAGCTCCGGCAATTCCGGAGGTCGAGCGGCAGCTCGCCGGAGAGCGAGTTCCTGGACACGTCGAGGTTCTGCAGCCTCGGGAGGTCGCAGAGCGCCATCGGGAGCTTGCCGGTGAGCGCGTTGTTGTAGAGGAAGATGGAGTGGAGCGAGGATGCGTTGGAGAGAGCGGCCGGGATGCCGCCCGTGAGGCGGTTGTCGTGGAGGTTGAGCCGGCGGAGGAAGAGCAGCGAGCCGAGCTCCGAGGGGATGTAGCCGGCCACGTTCTTCCCGGCGACGGCCAGGCCGACTACGCGCGGCTGCGACGAGATGTTGGCGCAGGTGACGCCAGGCCACCGGCACGGGTCGGCGTCCGACTCGGACCACTTCGCGAGGACCGAGGCCGGGTCGTCGGTCACGGCCGCCTTGAAGGCCAGCAGCGCGAGGCCGTCGTCGGTGAGCGCCACGGCCGCCGGCGGCGGCAATGCGAGGAGCAGCAGCAGGAGGAGAATCGTGGTCGGGACTGTCCTCATGAGCAAAACAAACTCTTCTATTGTTTGTGTCAGCGTGTGTCTCTGGCTAACACTGACTGTCAGTGGCTACAGAGAGGTGCGGCAGCAGAGGTTAGAGGTTATAGAAACCGACAGATCTGCGGCAGCACTGCAGTTGGAATTGAGTGGACACCTTGGATTTCGAAGGCGTGCATGCGAGCGAGCTAGTGGTGATGGAATTCTTCTCCTTTTCGTTGGCATGCTATGCTAGTGAGGAAGTGGTTATGTGTGGAAAGATGGTTAGTGGTGGCTGTCTTCATTAGAGTGGGTAGGGCCCCAGATGTGGTAATGGAGCTCGTTGTAGCTAGAGAGAGACGTGCAGGGGAGGGGAGTACAAGGGAAGCAAAGTTGTGTGTATGTGCGGTTCGTGGCTAGACTGTAGAGTATGATGAAGGACGTTGCGGTGAGCCAAAGACTGGAGGACGGCCAGGTAATCATTCCTGTGGGTATGGACTTTAGGTGGCCTGGTTGGTGAGGTGAGTGAGTGAGTCAGCTCTGTTCGTGCACTTGCCGTTTGCCATATGCATCTCACAATATATAGAACCAATAATATCTGCTTATGTTAGGGCATCTCGAACACTGACCTTCAAACCGCCCGCAACCGTCTCGATTGCACGGTCCGGACGTGTTTTGCCATCCAAGGCGGAGCTGTATCAATTCGCTCGGCGGTCCGAATGTCCTTTTTCCCG